GTCGGTGCTTTTTGCCTGACGGATGAGCCCGGATAGCTCTCGATAGAAAGTATCCTTCTCCGCATCAGAACTGCAGTCCGTTGGGGCATAAGCCGACACGACAAACAGGCACCGCTTTTTATGCCAGGAGGCATTGAGCTTGATTGAATTAGATAGCCGGACGGCACAGAGACGACTGTTCACTGGGATCCAATCCAGCAAAGCGCGTTCAGCTCTGGGGCTGAGTGCAACTCCCACGCCATATATTCCACGAGTCATCGCTTCTGGGTCAATGGACACACGGAGGGAAAAGTGTGAAAGAGCTGACTTCATCCTTGGCGTTCTGAGATGCAGAACCATGCTCGGGTCTTGTATGCGTGTTTCGGAGACACAGCATACATCGATTTTAAGGGAGTACAAGGTTTCAGCAAACATTGCCTGTTTGCCAATTTGACAAAGAGTACGGACGTTGAAAGCTCCTATATAGAAAGGATCTCGTGGATTTAGAAAGGTGCTATTTTGTTTAACGTTTGTGGGCAGCGGGGAGCCTAGGGCCCTTCGGTCAGATGGCTGAGAGTCAAATGGCCCAGCGACGTTTGCTTGTGCGGTGGGAAGAGGTTGGGAAGGGACATCGGTGGACGCTGAACTGCGCGGGCAAATGATACTTCCCGGTTGGCCAGGCCGAGGAAGGGGGTTTGGTTGAGGTACCTCACATTGAGCCTTTGACTCAAAAGTCTGACCCACAAGGCAGTGGGAGGACGTAGGGTTTTGTTCGGGGACCCTGACCCTAGCCTCTGACTCAAAAGTGGGAGAATGTAGGGTTTTGTTTGGGGACCCTGCCCGGAGCCGACGACTCAACAGTCTGACCTGCTCGGCTGCAGGGGGTTGGCCTAACCCGAGGGCACAGGGAATAAGGCATTACTGTCTCATTCCTGATGCGGCTGTGCACAGCAGGTACCTTGTGAGCAGCACAGGGCTTCTTGGTTTTAAAAGTATTTCGACCGTAGTGGATGATGCTCCGGCGGTCACGCTAAACCGTTGGACGATCGGTGTTTGCGGCTTCTGGGGCCGACTTTTTCTAACCCGTCCCTCCTCGGGGGAGGGCAGCATCGCTGCTTCCATAAATATGGACATGCTGGTCGCCTGGGGGAAAGACCTTAGTGGCTTCACACTCCCATCTCAGAGGACAGTACGACTTAGCCCCCAGACCGCCTCGTAGCACGATTACTCGTAGTACGGGGTCTCGCTGCTCTTGGTTTGGCTGCTCCACTTTGGCCTTCCTGGCATAGTTGCACCTTGTGGAACGAAGTTCCAGCCAGTGTGGCCTGCGGGATCATTGAAGCACTCAAGCCCGACTACCACGTCAAGGTGGCAGCTTTAGTTCAGGATTCACCGGTATACTGATCAATCGGTTTGTGTGGTACGGGTAAAATCCCTCCCTGATGTTGATATCAAGAAGGTGGAATCTCGCGCTACGAATATTCAAGAATTCGACGAAAACAACTAGAAGCGGTCATTATTTTTGGTCGGTCACTTCGTGGTGCTTGCCGCAATACCTGCGCGTTTGCATGAAGAGCTCCCTAAATGCATTCCTGTGGACACTGGTGCCCAGTAAAGTTTATTCCTCTTTTAGGACAGCGACTTGTTTAAAACCACACTTCTTGCACTGAAACATTAGGATGACTACTGCCAAGTTGGTTATGGCGACATAAGTGAAACCAATGAGTTCGTTTCCTTTCGAAAAGCGGCAGATGGCTCTCTCCGTGACCATAAAAGGTCCCAGGAAATCTATTCGCGTTTTCGTAACTGCTCGTGTAGAAAGTGGCGAGCCAGTGTTGACCAGCTTCGGCACAAATGTGATAACCTGTAATTTAATTAGGCAATCAAGTTGGCTGTCCATGATGAACACTGTAGCCGGCAATCTGACAAATGGCATACAGGTTCGGCATTTGCGTTGCGAAGCCCAAATGGTGATCGAGGACTAATTATTTGCAGGATTCAGAACTTCATGGAAAGTAGAAACAGGCCGAGAAAATCGTGCGCAATGAACTTAGTCAGGATTAGCACACATGCTCTAAATTTTATGGGAAAACCACGGTTTTTTCAGTCGAGCAAGCTAACCTTACACTCTGCGTACACTCACATATTCCTGATTGGTAGCAGCTTTCATTAGTTGTTGGGCCTCCATTCGTATAGAATCTCAGGTCCATAACCACGACGATAAAATTCATCATAGTGTCGGTGAACACCGATCTCTTCTTGCCTTGGTTTGTTTCGAAGACCGCATGCATTGAATTAGAACCAAAGTTGTCCCAAAATTGTAGGCACCTGAATGCAAACGAAATGTTCTGTACAGTTGTTCACTTACACACAGGCTGTGGCACTGAAGGTTCATCCAGCGGACAATACAGAATATTCGGCTTGTGGCCGAAATTCCAATCGTTACAATGTTTATATGATCTCGGAAAGAAAGGTAAATCAAAATGTTTATGAATTCGTAACCTTTTGATTCTATTGCAGAAGCCACAATCATACAATCTCCTATGGGTGCAGTTACTTTAACGCCCCCACAACAGTAATTACTTTCATTACGTGACCGTACAGGCTAGGTGAGCACACAATCACTTATCCTCGTCACTAACATGATTTTTGGTATTTTTTCCGCTCCTTTGAGTAATCGTCTGCCTGTGTACATCATGGACGAATGTAAAAAACGGAATGAGGTTAAAGATAAGGAGGGCCATTGGCCGTTTTTACAGAGGTTGGTCGGTCACATTTTGGGGGTGCAAGATCGTTACTGTTTGTAGCTTACTGTCCCATCAAAAATATCTCTAAAGAAAGTTGTATCCGGTGGGCGTTGTTATCTGCCCCCAAACCAGCTAGTCTTTCTGAGCTGTGCAATCGAAGCGTTCTTAACTTGGGACCATTTAATCAACCCTGGTTCGTTTCCCGCCTCAAAGGCTCCTCAGATAACGTTAAATGCTATAGTAGCTCGCTGGACATTTAGAGGATAATATCTAGTTAGGATGCACTACGAGTTATATTAGTTTGTTCACTGAGTAGCTTTTGTTATACTTTCCCTGGAACGTTTGCGCTGTTCACCTGATCGGTTAGTTTGATGGGAACCAGTTAACGGTGATGATGTTGAAAATAATTTATTATTTTCGTTGGCTTGTCCGCTGAGTTGGGCACATTGATTGCAAACGTTTCATCACCAAGCGAGGTGAAATCATCAGTGCGTTATTGGGGAGCGTAGTGCACCTTTTTAGAAAAATAGCGATGTACTGCTCGCGCACAAGCACCAGGACCGTGTGATCAACATCCTGATGTCATTTTGATGCCAAAGTCGATGACAAACCAAGAAAAGATTGTTACCAACGTGGAATGATTCCGCTTGTTCTGCTACATTGAAAACTTCCAAGGTATATGAACGTGTCGGCTTTCGCGAACGAGCAGTCTGTTTCGCACACAATCAAGGTGTTCCTTGCAATCTCATGGCGGAATCATCCATCGTTACTTTTTGTACCAAAATGGTGCCATTGACGTAACCAATGTCGGCATGCATGCCATGCCGAAGAAGGTCTGTCCACATGAATTCGGAGCCCTATCCATCACATCATCCATCATGAAGTTGAAAATGATGGGTTAAATTTCGTTCACGTTCGATATAGATAACGTTGCAGAATATTATTATAGGCAGAAAACCTCCATGGATCAAACAAGACGTATTGGAATGAGTGTACTTAATACCTGCTCTGATGCGGATTCTGAATCTGTTCAGTACTGATGTTCTGTTCGTGTTCGAGCGTGAAATCAGCTAGTTTGAAAACGATTTCACCAATATCGGTGTTTCTAGGGGACCAGCACAGGAGTTATTTATCCTCCCATTGGTTTTTCGCAGTATGCAGAAAAGCGTTATCGGTCTGCCAGTGCTAGTGTTAACATTAGGAATGGTTTGGCACAACAACTGTATGTCAAAGTTCACCCAGCCCCTGGGCCTTATTAAGTTTTGGCACGTGAACCTGATAGAAGTACCTGCTCTTGACTAAGCCAAAACACTTGTTATGCTATACCTGGAGTGTGTGTGTGTGTGTACGTCTTTAGCTAAATATGCAATCAGCTGTGAGGTCTCAGCATTCAAGCTGGGCCACCCAAGTTCACTAGGCCCTTGAATTCACTCCCAACACACGTCCACTACGGTGAACACTGGTTGTCCTAGTACTTTGGTCACACGCGCACAACCGTTCGGAAGTACTGCGTCTGTCATACCCATGCAAACAACGAGAGAGAGAACATGTGCTTACTCTCACAGCAAACATGTGCGTGTGCCCATGTGACGCACCCATAAGCTCTAAAGGCAAAGGAGCAAGTTGTCGGATTTGTGAGCAACAATTTGAAACGACCATCTACAAATCCCTTTGTGCACTCTCCGGCTGTTCAGTGCATCGAGAACTATGCAGGCGCCCCCAATTAAAGACGATGTTGGCACCCTGTAGAAACACGATTCCCCAGTTTCACCGGCTCACACCATCTCAGCACTAGAGAAGCCGAACTTAAGCATTCCGGCCAATTCAAACAACGGACCAAGTTGAGCATCTGACTAATGTTTTTGGAAACGAGAGATGCCGAAGAAGCCATGATACATAATTTTATTTGGCAATAAATCTTTCATCTCTGAATTTTCCAGGTTTTGGTGCTATCCATTGAGAGACGAAGAGTGAGAATTGCGTCATAACGACCGATGGTATAAAGAGGATGTACCGAAGTGGTTAAATGAAGTGATGGAACACCTAGAGCTGCGTCTATACTGTTGCAGCAAGACAAGTGTAAACACTGGGAATGACAATATTACTATTTGAAGAGGTGCTTCATGATAAGATGTTTCATTCATCGTAACCATGGAGTGAAACTGCATTCACCCGTCCTATGTGATTCAGGTATCTGTAGTCTAAACGTAAGGCAAAGTGATCACTTGTTAGGAGTGATGTAATTACTTGACCATGTTTCTGGGCTATCTAAAGCCGTTTCGAAACTTCGGACAGAAAAGATTCTATTTGGTTTCGACGTCCGTGCCTCTGTATCACAGTTTTGACAACTGGGTTTGATTGCTTGTAAAATGTTGGGTGCCTGTGTACGGTCTCCTGGCGACCGTTACCAGCGGCAAAGACTGCTAGTTCCGGAATCATTTTTAGACTTGGTAGGTTAGTTTGCCGCACTACCTTCCACCATGCACAGACCAATAGGATGTTTGAAAGATCACATCGCCTATTTACAGTTACTGTTTGTGTTGTCGATGCTATCCAGTGGACCGACACGGCTGTCATTTCAGTCTCATCTACTTTGTTCCTTATCTAGATACTTCTGCTGAAGGTCACAAAAGATATTCTTCTATCGTGGCCAGAAATCGTCAAATTCGCTACCTCTATTCCTTTTGTGGCGCTTTGCAGGATTTGATGTGTTCGTACACCGTAATTGAATACGAAACATCCATGTAAGGCAAGCAATCTATAACTATACTCCTGTGATCCATTGCTTTTCTTGAAATTTTCCGCAGTGTCAGGAATTCTTCTGTTGACCAAGGGGTTGAAAAGCCAGGATCGTGTACTGTAGCAGATTTGATAAGAAATTATTATGGTGGTATAGTGTATATCCTTCATCTAGACCACCAAGGAGTAGCAAATGGTCAACAAACTCCACCACAAAGAGGAAATAACCCAATGACGATCGATCTACTATTTGGCGATATGAATAAATTGCTTGTCACCATCAGGTGACACCCAATACAACATGAGCGGTGATCCTAATTTAGATAATCCTACACCATTCTGGCTAAGATGGTATACGTATCTTCTTTAATTCAGGTGTACTTGTTTTCCCTGTTCACTTGATGATGGATACCGTGATATGCATCGATTTCTAGGCCTGTTGGAACACGCAGCTAGACCCCTGCTAATTGTGCGCGTAAAGGGCACATGGAAGCAGACATTTGAAGATATCGGAGATAAACACACAGGCCACACTCGATGTTGCTATCGTTGGTCCAGAAGGTTTCCGATTTTCTTTTTAAAAAATACCTGCTTCACACAACTCAAACTCCGCCTTGGGCTCATTCTAGACTAATTCAAACCACACCAGACGGTGGCACCTTACGCATGCGCGGCTGTGTGCCCACATCCCTATAGGTTCAAGAAGCAGGCCGATTACCCGTAACAAGCTCACTGTTGTGAGGCCTACTGAAACTCCGTCCAGCGATAGCAAGCATCCTCTAGATCGCATGATGGCCGAACAGCGGAACAAGGCTCGATGTTCTCAGGCAATGTGCTGGTTAGATGGATGGCAAGACACGATCGCAGCATATGTGACTGTCTCATGAAAAACGGACGTGATGACAGTCGAAGGTCATGTCTAACAAACACTGGGAACGGAAAACACTTTTACCTCAGTCTCTAGTGTTCATGGTAAAGTGAATCACTTGCCACTGTACCGACAGGTGTAACTAGTATTGGCGAGTGCAGTCCCAGTGCAAACTGGACTGCGCGTCAGTTCAATAAGGCAGGCACGTGGTCCACAAAAAACATCTGCGTCCGAAAGCTTCTAACGAAATACAGACTTGCTAGCAGCATAAACAGCATGGGTAAGCCATCCTCATGCGTTTGACGATTTTTCTGCATAAGAAACACCTCTATAGTTGAATGGAAATTCAAGAGGGTGCATATAAGCGATTTCTTAGAAGTGCGACGCCTCTAGGTACGCCCTGCTAAAGTAATAAAGGAGCATCGAATTGTGAAATGTGGGTTACACCATTTCTTGCCAATTTTTATTCTCCCGGATTTTACATCGGATTCACAGGCAGTAACGCATCCG